TCCATCACCAGCTCCTGCAGCTTGCTCAAACTCATGTCTATCGAGTCGGTGATGCCATCCAATCATCTCATCCTCTGTCGTCCCCTTCTCCTCCTGCCTTCAATCTTTCCCAACATCAGGGTCTTTTCCAATGAGTCAAGTTCTTCACATCAGGTGGCCCAAGTATTGGAGTTTCAGCTTCAACATCAGTCCTTCCAATGAATATTCAGGATTAACTTCCTTTAGGATTGACTGGTTGGATCTCCTTGCAGTCCAAGGGACTGTCAAGGGTTTTCTCCAACACCACCATTCAAAAGCATCAATTCTTTGGCGCTCAGCTTTCTTTATGGTCCAACCCTCATATCCATACATGACTACTGGAAAAACCATAGCTTTGACTAGATAGACTTCTGCTGACAAAGTAATGTCTCTGCTTTTTAATATGCTGTCTAGGTTGGTCATAGCTTTTCTTTCAAGAAGCAAACGTCTTTTAATTTCATGGCTGCGGTCATTATCTGCAGTGATTTTGGAGCCCAAGAAGATAAAGTCTCTCACTGTTTCCATTTTTTCCCCCATCTATTTGCCATGAAATGAAAGTTACTAATACCCAAAGTGAGACAACAGAGTGGTTTTTTTTCTATTTACCAATCCTGGCTATTAGCCCAAGCACTTCACATTTTCTGATTACACAATGTCTTTCAGATTTTAAAATAAATACAACAAAGACAAAATACATGCATATGATATGTAAGAAAGAAACCTGAGTGAACTCAAACGATATAGGAAATAAATACGACTGTTTCTCCACTTTGAAGCCCTAGTAACAATGTTACTGAAACAGAAGCAGGTTAATCATAAAATATACACAATTTATAGAAATACATTTAAAAATCCACATATTAGGGCACTACCTTAACTAATCAAAATTCTAAAGTCAGAGTTGCAAAAGACTATTCACACATATAGACACACACATATACACAATGGCTACAGTGAATAAGAACCAGTGTTCACAGCATCGTTATTATTAATTATAAATAGTGATAGTAATTATTGTAAATATTAGTCATAATAAATCAATCAAATTACATTCCAAAACACATACATTCAAAGACATAACTATAAATATCAAATCACAGTGGCATGGAGTACTCAGGGATTGAGGTAGCTTTAAAAAAATTAGAGTTGAATCCAGGGCAGGACCAATAAAAAATGAGACTAGAAATGTAGGCAGGGGCCAAGTCACAAAAAGCTAGAGCCTTACATTTCTATCCTAGTATGTCATGCTTCTCAAGTGATGTCTGAGTACTCTATGGTAATACCAGAGTATGGAAAATCACAGGATAAAGACAGTGGATCTTCCTTAAGTGTCAAGTTTATGAAAAAAAGATCTGGAGGAAGTTAACTGAGTTTAAGTCATTGTTTTTATATTAAATCCAACTTTACTAGAACATAAAATCAATGTGAATTTTTCAGACAGAACATGCAGCTTCGAAGGAATTTCGCTCTTGCAGTAGGCTAATTCAGGTTCACTGTTCCTTATAATTTGAGGAAAAGAGACAAATAACGGAGAATTGAAGGAAAATTTGAGAATCAGTGTTGGGAATGGGAATGTGGAGTCAAAGATTTGTTGTCGTTTGGATAGGAGAGTGACATGGTCATATTTGTGCTTTGGGAATGCTCTCTCAGGGAAGTATAACAGGACAGGCTAAAACATAAAAGACAGCACAGTAATGAGAGTAGGCAACAAACAAACAACTTGTGCAAGAAATGAAAAGGATATGAACCAGAGTAGAAGCTATGAGAACACAGAGGGCTGGGAGGACTCCAGAAAGCATACGATGGTCACCAGGCAGCACCTGACTGATGGCATGGTGACTATTCTTTTGAGAACTTATTAGTTCTCAAAGTGTTCATTTTTTTAGAGCAAGTATTTCTACCACTGTAAGGTATTTGATATTTGTACCTTTAAAAGCTCCCACTTAAAAATAACATTGTATGTCTTCTAATCATAGGAAGAGTATAGCTGTGGGATGCTATTGTAAATCTCTTATACCAAAAATTGAACAAAACATGAGTAAGATTTAAGAAAACTATGTTTAATTAAGAAAACGTCCATGTTTTCAAAATGTTAAGAAGAAATCACTGGGCTCCTACTGATCAATCACCAACACAGCGTTTCTAGAAACATGACTAGAGTTTGAGAACTCGAGTTAGGAATGACTTAGATCCATAATGTGATGTTACCAAATAAACGAATGAATAAACATAGCTTCTCCTAGAAAAGAACAAGAATTTGGGTATTTAAAACATCTCATTACTTAGAAGCTGGACAAAAAGTAGTCTTTTAACTTTTTTTAACCATGTTAGTCATTTCATAAGAAGTAAATAGGAGTTTATCTAGGTGATATTGGCTAAACAATACAAAATAAAATTAAACTTAATCCTTCACTAATAAGTTGACAGTAAAATGCAGCCACTAGGTAAAATCAGAATTAGAACTGCTATGGGAAATAAAACATACAACAAAATCTTTGCAGAACACATTCATGGAAATATTCCAACTTGAGAAGTAGATCAAGTAAATGTTAATTTTATTGGACTAGTAAAAATAGCAATTCTTTCGTCTGAAAAAAAAGGGTCTTTTAATTGCTTTTAAAAATTAGCATATTTGGTCTACTCTACTAATTTATGTAACACAGACCATTGATAGTTATGACTGTGATCAGAAAATCTAGGAACAGTACAAGTACTGAAGACAATAGAAAAAAAAAACACTATTCAAACAAATGCTATCTGTAATCAAACACTGATCTGTTTAAATTTTAAAACTGCATTATCAGAAATACTTAAAATATTTCATTATAGAAATGATCATACAAAAAATAAAGACTAGGACAAGTCTGGAAACTAGTATTCCAGGTGCTAAAAACAGCTTGTTTTGTTGCTTACAGATGAAACTCTTCAGTTCTCAAAAAACCTGGCATAAAAATTTAACATAAAAATTTCAGATACTTTACTTGCCAGTAAAAGATTCATCTACATATACAGATCTTATACCAATTTCATTTGATAATTTATGCTTACTACCTTATCATTGTTGTTGGGTCACTAAGTCAAGTCCAACTCTTTGCAACTCCACGAACTGCAGCATGCCAGGCTTCCCTGTCCCTCACTTTCTCCCAGAGTTTGCTCAAATTCCATCTATCTTATAGAAAATCCTAAAATTGAGATTACACATAAATTCATAACAGAGGGAGACTATCTCAAAGATATAAATCAGTGTGATTTTCATAAAACCTCTCTCCATCACTAACAAGTAATTAACTATTCTTTTTATTGGACTCTCTGATATATTTTTTCCCAAGTCTCTTAAGACAGGATATGAGAAAGATACCAACAGCAAAGGAAAAATAGAAATGTCTAAAATTTATGGTCCAAATATTTTTAGAATTGATGCAAAGAAATGTGATAGCAAAAGTAACTGACATTCTACAAAGGAAATCAAGACACTCCTCTCTCTTCCAGATTACCTACACATAAAACTATTCCTTCAATTTTTTTTTTTTTAATGCCATCTGCCTTTTCCAAGTCTCCCTCTTTCTGAGCTCACTTGCTGTCCTGTCTGCGTGGGCACGGGAAAGCTGCTTCAATGAAATCAGTCCACTGCAGTTGTCCTTACAGCATTACAAAACATAACCCGCCTAAGGGGAAGTGGACAATAATGGAAAGAGTTGCAAGAGGGATGAGCTGTACAGATACTGACAGAGACTTTTTTGCATTGCTTTTTTGAAACAAAATGGCCCTTCCTGCATATGGGTTACAAGGTTACATGCTTCATTTATAGTGAATGCCTATGTAAGATCTAATTACAAAGCAGCGAGGCACTGGTCTCATTATTTAACGGATCTAATGGAAGAACGCTGCAATTATCAATAGGCAGCCCCCCCCCCCGGAATACCATGCATCCCAATATAGGAGGGAGCCACACAAATTGCCTCAAATCTGCAACCACGAGGACAGCCCACCCTCCCCATCCCCACAAAATACAGAAATTCTAGCTAAATGTTAAATATACGTGAACATCTAGACAATTAAGAAACCCTGAGCAGTCGAAGAAAGTCGGGGTTTTTTTGGTTAAAAAAAAAATGCATGCACACAGGGAACGATAGATAGTATTTCACGTTAACAGCGGTTATCTTTAAGTATCAAACATACAGGTGATTTCTATCCCACTACCACCCTCCGTCGCGATTCCTTCTGTTTTCTACTTTTCTTACAATGAGCAAACAAGCCTGTTAATTTGGCAATCCAGGAGGCAGGGGCGGGGGTGGTGGTGGTAAAGTCAATTAGATGCAGAGCTTAAAGCAACAGTTAATTTGGTTCAAAGACGCAGAGAAACCTATCTTGAAGCCTTCTCGGAGTCAGTAAGACGGCAGCAAGGCTCCCCAGAGCGCTGCGATAACCTCTATAACCAGGGTCCTAGCAGACTGAGGGGACAGAGTTGTTTCATACAAACTCGGGCAAGTGCTCCAAAGAGCAGCAAAACTCACTCCTAGCTCTCCCGTGACCCCGCCCCACACGGCACGCCCAGGTCCCGAGGACCCTGCGGGACCCTGCGCCCGTCTCAAGGGACCAAAGCCTTGGTTTCCGCCCCCTCCCAACCCAAACTCTGCTCCGCAGCCCACCGCCACTCTCCTTCACCTACTCCCCCAAACCCCTCCCACGACACACGATCCTGGAACCGGCCGGACTTAGAGACAGCGCTCCGGGTTCCCGTGACCTTGGAGAAGCCCCTTCGCCTCTCCGAGCCTCAGTTTCTTAACGTTCCTCCCTCGCGGGGCGACCGCGGGCGCAGAAACCGGGGGGCTCTGCAAAAGCCACGGACGGTGCTCGTAACTCTGCACGACCCCTCCTCCCCCGGACCGCTCGCAGACGCCGGGCACCAGCCTGGACACCTAAGGGGCAGCTGCTGCGCCGGAGCCCCCGGGGACACGTCGCCTCGCAGCCCGTCCCCGTACCTGGCAGTTGCTGTCCTGGGGCAGGTTCTTCACCAGAATTTTTCTGCGGTTGCTAAGCTCCCGGCGCATCCGCTGCAGCCGCGCGGTGACCTCCTCCGGGTGCAGCGCCGCGGGTACGGGGCCCCGGGCGTCGGCGCGCGCCTCGGCGAAGGGGCTCGGCCCGCGCGGCCCCGACCCCGGCGCCGCCGCGCCCCCTTCGCCGCCGCCGTCTCCCGCCGCCGCCATCTTCCCGGGCGCCCCGCGGCTGCGGGCTCCTCGGAGGCTCGAGGGGAAGGGAGAGAGCGAGCGGGAGGAGGCCCGGGCGGGGGCGAGGCGGGCCGAGGCCGCAGAGCGGGCCCAGCCGCGGGGAGGGAGGGAGAAGGGGGACGGAGGCGGCGCCGCAGCCGGCAGCCGGCGGGCGGGAAGAGGAAACCTGAGCGCCGAGGAGGAGCCCAGAACCACCTCGCGGGAACCTCCCCTCGGGCCGCGGGCTCCGGAGCCCTGGAGCGCCCGCCCCTCCCGCCCGCCTGCGAGGGCCTCGGCGCAGCCCCCGGGACACCTGTGCGGGCGCGGGCGGGCGCGCTCCTCTCCCCGCAAAGCCCTAGGGAACTCCCAGGCTGGGACACTAGGTATGCGGCTCTTTGGCACCGGCTTCGCCCGGGGCACTCGAGCCCCAAGCGCCTGTCCCCGCGCGGCCTTCCCACGTGACGTCGTAACTGTCCCCGAGCTCCCCTCGAAACTCCCGCGCTGGGATAGCTCCGGCGCTCAAGACGCGCCTTCACGCCTGCAAACCCGGGGAGGCCCATCCCCACCCCGGACGGCGACCCTTCCGCCGTGCTCAACGTGTGCACTTTTGGCAAAGAAATGAAGAGTTCGCAGTGAAAAATAAAATGTAAGGTTTTCTAGGGAGTACAAAGAAAGATGTTCCGAGGCAATTTTGTATATTTGGAAAAACCTGATCGCAAAGTATTTTCCTGGCTGTATCTATGAGAAAGCCTGTGCCCTTGACCCGTCCCTACGTTTCTGTTGTACATTTCCTAAAATGTAAAACCTGGATGGTTGTATATGCAGTGCATAAAGGGGTGCCAAAACAAAGACAAATGGAAGACCATCTATGGCAGAGGGCTGGAGAAGACGCTACTTGGAACATTATTTTAATTGAAACTTGGAGGGAGAGTAACATTTTAGAACTAAGTCAAAATGATGTCATCACATCAAACAACTGGGGAGCCTTTGACTGGCACCAGCCCAAATAACTGTGAGCAAAGAGAAACATGCATTTCAAGTTAATGGCATACAAATACACTCTCAAACAACAACAAAGCCTGTTTAATAGCATTAATGTTATTGCGTTGGGGTGAAATATTTTCAGTAAATGTCACCAAAAAATGAAAACAAAAAAGATTTTTTAAAAAATTCTGTGTTCAGTACTTATCTTGTGTCCCCACATACGTCTAAGTACAAATGTTTCATTTCCTCTTCACAATAATTCAATTAGGTAAGTTTTATTTTCCTCACTTTACACGTGAAGAAACAGGCAGGTTGCTTAATTCTAAAGCCCAACGCTCTTAATAACATAAAAAGACTCAGCTGTCATATCTCCATCACAAAATAATGATTGCTAACATTCCTGCATTTATTCTCTGCCAACAAATACTTGTATCTTTAAAATGATTCCGCACTACACCTACGTTCATAGTAGCACTGTTGTCAATAGCCAAAAGGTAGACACCACCTATAAGGTCTGCTAATGAATAAACGTGCATACGTGCACTACTGCTGCTGCTGCTAAGTCGCTTCAGTCGTGTCCGACTCTGTGCGACCCCATAGACGGCAGCCCACCAGGCTCCCCCGTCTCTGGGATTCTCCAGGCAAGAACACTGGAGCGGGTTGCCATTTCCTTCTCCAGCATATGTGCACAGTGGAATATTACTCAGCTATATAAAAAAGTCAAGTACTGCTACAAGGTGGGTAAACATCCAAAACATTATGCTAAATGAAAGAAACCAGACAAGAAAGGTCACGTTACGCAATCACATTTACATGAAATATTCCCATAAGTAAATCCATAGAGACAGAACTGAAGCAGGTAGTTACCAGGGGTTGAGGGAACAGGGAATGGAAAGCAACTGCTTAATGGATGCAGGTTTCCTTTTGGGGTGATGAAAATGTTTTGGATTTGGACAGAGGCAACAGTTGTCCAATATTGTGAAAGTACTAAGTAAACACTGAATAGTTCACTGTAAAATGGTTAATGAGTTTATCTGATAAAAAATGTAAATGATAGTCTAGAGTTTACAGCTTTGTTATCTACTTTTTATAGTATACTTTCAGAGCCTATTTCTATGCCAGTGTAATTGAACATCATTATTTTTCATGGCTGCAGATTATTTTTTTGTGATAATTACCATAATTACATCACTAATTGCCTAGTATTAGACATCTTTATCTACTGTACACCACACTGAGATTAATATCCTGTGTCCGTATTTGCAGATTTCCGATTTTTCCATAAAGAACTAGAAGCAATATATCTTCACTTATAAAATAAGGATATATGAAGATTTTTGATATGTATTTCCAAACTGCCTTTCTCCATTTCCCCCACATCACAAACACTGTAGAGAGTGCTCATTTTCCTGCTTGCATCTGTGATGGTTTGATATCAAAATAATGTCTCATTTTGGTTTTAAATTTTATTGCTTGTGGGATCTTAGTTCCCCAACCAGGGATTGTTGAACCCAGGCCTTTGGCAGTGACAGTGAGAAGTCCTAACCACTGGACTCCAGGGAATTCCTAAATTTTATTTCTTCGATTAAAAGTTATGAGTTGTAAGCGCCAATTAAGTGCTGTTCCAAAGAGCTGAGAGACTTTAAGATGTATATTCTTTAAAGTGAGCAAGAAACATGAATAGGCTTAACATTCACTCAGACCTTGAGTCAGTCATTAAGTTTGAGAACATATATTTATCTAAATGAGTACTGTTTTCTTGACAAACATTTTAAAATGTCTCTTCCATACTAGGAAATATATACAAAGGCATTAAGAATACAGAAAGAATAAAAGTTTCTATATGATAAGGACTCAGTCTTGAGAAAAAAATTATACAAGAATTAAATATGATAAATATGCAAGCAGAAACATCAGGAGCTGCCCTGGAGAATAGTTATCTGGGTCTAATTTTAGAGTTTTTTGCCTTGGCTGAAAATATTTTTCTAATTGCTTTTTTGGTATTGACTTCAGAATTTATGACAAATTCTTGTGCAGTTTCTGTAGTAGTGAGTGTTCATCCCTTTGAGATGGGTTTGATGTTTTGAACTAATAATATGTTTTCTGAAGCCAAGTCTGGTGAATGAATCAGGTGTTGATTATGCTCTTGGGATTTTAATTATGTAATTGGGGTTTTTTGTCCCAAGTGGTACATAATTCAATGTTATCAAGTTATTAAACCAATATTATTAAGTGGCTACATGGAATTGATCCCACTCCTTGAACAATATTACTGTGTCCAAAGGGTGGTGACTTTAAAACTTTTTTGACTCAAACCAGTGGGAAATGTATACCACAGAGGGAAATATATCCCATACTGGGAAATACAGGGCTTCCCTCATAACTCAAAGAATCACCTGCAATGCAGGAGACCCCAGTTCAATTCCTGGATCGGGAAGATCCACTAGAGAAGGGATAGGCTACCCACTCCAGTATTTTGGGGTTTCCCTTGTGGCTCAGCTGGTAAGGAATCCGCCTGCAATGTGGGAGACCTGGGTTCAATCTCTGGGTTGGGAAGAGCCCCTGGATAAGGGAAAGGCTACCCGCTCCAGTATTCTGGTCTACAGAATTCCATGGACTGTAAAGTCCACGGGGTTGCAAAGAGTTGGACACGACTGAGTGGCTTTCACTTTCATTGGGAAATATTTTTTACGTTACAAACCAGTAAACACACATACATACAACTGAAACAGATTTCACAGAACAATATACCCTTCCATGGAGCAGCATACTCTAGTATTTTTTTATTGTATTCTATTCCACTTTTTAAAAATTGCTGGGGAGGAGGGTGACACGCAAAATTGATTTCATGTGCCACTAATGAGTTCTAATTCATTGTTAAACAGTGGTCCAGGTTTCAAATCAACTATCTTCCTTCATTACTTTGGCTCAACTGTTTTCCAGGAATTCAGGGAAATAATAGAATCTGTTGATTTTAAATTATTTAACTGAATTGATTGTTACTGCCACATAAAAGAAATAGATGGAAATTACAAAGACTTGGAAATGCTGCTATACTTCCCAAGAGTTCCTCTCATTCCAGGTTTTAGCCTGACTAAACAGCAGCTTCTGTGATAAACTTAAGGAACACTCTAATCTGATCCTGCAATGAAGTACAATTATCAAGCTGCAACATATTTACCAATACCCACAGGTATTTACCAATGCCCACAGGTAATTATCATGAGCTATATAATTACCTTGTTCTTAACACAGGAGCAGCGTGCTCACTTTTGCCTTTATTTTAAAAATAATTGGTGGCTATTTTTAAAGCACTGCAATTGAGCAAAATGTTGGAAAGGTTTAATAAGTTTCAGTTAATAATAATAACAATACAGACCCTGGTATCCAAACAAAATCTTAGGCTTATATGAAAATGTGATGAAAACAAATATGTGAAAACACCTTGTAAACTGTAAGAATGATTCACTCTTAGTGGCCGTTTATGTATTCAGTGATATATATTGAGGGCCTACAATGTACCAGATACTCTCTACAGCACAGCAGATTTGATTGACTTTTATTCAAAGAAAGGCCTTTTCCCTGGGGAAAGTCATTGAAATTCAGAATTTGTAAATTCAGCATGAAAAATACTATGAATATGATACTCTTAACAACATAGACAGATGACTGATTTTGATGTAGGGGAAAGTATCTTGAGGGGTTTTGAAGAACAGGTAACAGTCTTCTAAATGATAAGGGGCAAATACTGAAACAGGGAACAGAGGGAGACCAGAAAGCATCAAAGGGACTGGCATGCCCATGGAACAGTAAGTCTGGTACCAATAAAGGATGTGCTACTTTGGGGAGAGTAGCAGGAAATATTTGAGAAAGGTAACAGATGTCATTCCATTTTAAGAAGTTGATTTCATTTTAAGTCACTGCTTAAGTATGGCATGAAAGGCAATCCCATAGAGAAAAGGAATATCAGAGGCTCCTAGCCAGAGACATTACATGATCAGACCAGACTTAGCTCT